ACCCCGTTGTTGTTTCTTGGTTACCCCATTGTTGTTTCTTGGTGGCCCCCATTGTTCGTTTCTTGGTGTACCCAATTGTCGTCTCTTGGTGTACTCCATTGTTGTTTCTTGGTGAACCCCATTGTTCGTTTCTTGGTGTACCCCATGGTTGTTTCTTGGTGTACCCCATTGTTCGTTTATTGGTGTACCCCATTGTCGTTTCTTGGTGTACCCCATTGTTCGTTTCTTGGTGTAACACATTGTTCGTTTCTTGGTGTACCCAATTGTTGTTTCTTGGTGTACTCCATTGTTGTTTCTTGGTGAGCCCCATTGTTCGTTTCTTGGTGTACCCCATTGTTGTTTATTGGTGTACCCCGTTGTTGTTTCTTGGTGTATCCCCCTGTTGTTTCTTGGTGTACCCCATTGTTCTTTTCTTGGCGTACCCAATTGTTCGTCTCTTGGTGTACCCAATTGTTGTTTCTTGGTGTACCCCGTTATTGTTTCTTGGTGTACCCTGTTGTTGTTTCTTGGTTACCCCATTGTTGTTTCTTTGTGTACCCCATTGTTGTTTCTTGGTGTACCCCATTGTTGTTTCTCGGTGTACCCCATTGTTGTTTCTACCCCATTGTTGTTTCTTAGTGTACCCCATTGTTGTTTCTACCCGATTGTTGTTTCTTGGTGTACCCCATTGTTGTTCCTACCCATTGTTGTTTTTTGGTGTACCCCATTGTTGCCGTCTATCCACCCTGGTTCTCACTATTAGAACATTATTTTACTTTGACCCGGTGACAGACATCCTCGATATCCAGGGTTTACTCACACTAACGCTCTTTGCACCCTTGGAATAAGTCATGGATAAAGTAAAAGCTAAATGAGCGCCACCTTGGTAATTAGACAAGGGGACTAGTTCCATCCTTAGATGTACATCAAAGGAATCTCGCGGTCGCGTAACGGTAAAAATTGACTGACTTTGAATTCGGGGGTCGCCCTTTTGTAATCTTCAAAATTTACCTGATACCAATCAACCAGCTGTCTTTGTGCCTTCAAATTTGCTATGACATATTCCATGGGTGCAGAGAGCGTTTTTGAGCTGGATATCGAGGATGGGTGATGTAAGGACCGATATTTCTTAATATGCTCAATAGCATGCCTTATTGTTTCGTCGTCACTTTCATGGGTGTCTGTTTGGCGATATGAAAGGCATTTCTTGGGTTCGACCTAGATTTGGTATTATCTTGCTGTTTTTGTTTTGTATTGTTATTATTGCTTGAATATTTTAAGAACATGTCTGATACTTTTGACAAAACATCGTCGAATAACTCGAAATAACGATTACAATGTTAAAGTTACTCTACTGTCAACCCCATCACCGAAAACATTATTGACGCTTAAATCAATAAATCAGTATCCTGCGCCGCTATTATTGCCCTTATCGGTCTCATTGAAATGATATTCCGTACCTGGATTAGTGCCACTGCATCAACCGGGCGACGTTAGTTGGCGTATTTGATATTTAACGCGCTTTTTCTGCCCATTGCTCTAATTTGGATATATCAGGATTATAGGACGCACAATGCAGTGGGTGTGTATTTTCTAATTGTAACAACGAAATAGCATACCCTTACAACATGCGAACGTTCTTTGAGTTGTTTAAATGTGCACCAAGGGGACAACATACATATGAAACTGGTCTCAAGTGAGCGACCGTCAAAATTCAATCGACATGGGTCGGAAATGGTTTTACAGCATGGGCTATCCTCCCCACACGATAATAGACCCCCTTCAAATCGATTCCTCTCGATAATACATGCACTTGTGTAGCGTTGGTCGCGATGACGATAGATTTGTCGACGGCCATAGGTACGGAAAAGGCAGATCGGAATCCGTCATTAAAAAGCATGTAAATATTCGGAGGCATACATAAGTGCCTTATAACATTGCTGTGACAAAGGGGACCAAACGCATGGGAGATGTGCTTTTAAGCCAGGGTCACGCTGACTGGTTCAGACTTTTTCGGCTCAATGGAAACATCATTGATCCCAAATAATATGGTTTTACCGTTTCCGTTGTGTTAACTTAAGCAACATATGTATCATGTGTTCATTGTGTCGGTCGCAAACTCTTCAATAGGTACAGATTCAGCCTACAAAAATTAGACTCATGTTTAGAACGTGCACACCAAATCGTCTAGCTTCATGGTTCTAATTCTGTCCTCGCATAGTTATGGCAATTTATTGCGGCATTGTGCCTGTCTTTTGTAAAACTTTAGAATATCTATGGACAAAGAAGTTCATATGGTCACTGCTTCGGAAGACATGTGATTTAAAATAAGTAATCGTCATGTCCCGATCTTGTCAAGTAGTCGTCCGGATTTGAAGATTTGCAATGCGCAAGCGCAACTGGTTAGTTAGCAACGCTTCAATGATTTTTGAAAACTAGTTAGGCGGGTTAGTGATTTTGAATACTGCTCCCTAGTTACGCGAGTAACACTCATTTTCTCCTTTCCCAAATACATTTGTATATCCTAACACGGACTTGGACAGCTAATTCTGCGATCCTAATTTGAAGGGCATTGAAAGTATTTAGATATAAGAATGATACTGTCGCTTTCAGGTTCATGAGTCTGCCTGAAAACAGCTTAACTCACTGTCAACAAAAACGTTACTTTCATTTCAAATGTACGCATAAATCAGTATTAAAAACCTGGTAAACCATTTAGAATGTAACACAGAATGGATATGAAATGTTTCCTATATACAGGTACGATTAGCAAGCTTTATTTTGTCTTTCTACAAATGCCTTATCTTGTTCTCTCGCCTGTTTTGTCAAAAAACACAGGTTCGTTACCGATGTTTGTCAAAATGTTCAACGTCAGTGTTCGTTGGCGCAACCAGCAACGGCTGTAACCTCCTGTTAATCATCAGTATGTTTTCTGTGCTTAGAGAACTTGCAACTTTCCTGTATTATTGAGTCAAAGAGAGGCAACTCATACATAATCCAAACCGGTATAGACCAATTATAATAGAGCGTGAATGACCTGATTATAAATTAAGAATTATAAGCTGAATGTATAAATACTGGCATGTAAATGTATACTTAAACAATAACTGGTTGTCTGGATGTAATTATTGTTGATATAGGGTTTTATGGTAGATTTGCCAGAGGCCACTTGTAATTATATCAACAATAATTACATCCAGACAACCAGGTATTTTTTATATTTACATATTTTTCTTTTTTAAGACATATTCCTACACAAACCATTTGCCCTGCCTCAAAATACATTTCAGGCGGCCATTTTGTTTGTTTACATATTCCTACACCTGAAACAGGCAGTTGTAATGATAGTCGAGCAGTTGTAGGTTATAACCTATATAATTACACTTGCCCTCTAACACTGTTGTAATGGGACGGTTCGGGGGCAAATGTAAATATATTGTATTATCAATGATATGGTGCATGTTTATATATAGTGTCAATGGCGTTTTGTGTGTCATACAATGGCATTGGTTTGTGACGGTGGCGTACAATATGCTTGCCTTCATGTATAAGTCCTGATCAATCTATATAAACAATGATATAAGACCAAACTTTTTTGTTATTTCTTATGGTATACACCCATTAAGAGAAAAGATAATCAAAGAAAAAACATAATAAAATTGTGCCGTTATTTCCTAGAACCAAATTAAATAGACCATCAAAATAAGTCAATTATATTCTGAATAATCGGTTGATTAAGCAGGAAGTTAGGGGGGGGGGGGGGGGGGGGGGGGGGGGGGGGGGGGAATGGTAAATTAACATTAAACCAAATGGGAAAATAACACCGGTAACTTGAACAAATAATTGTTTGTTTGTTTGTTTGTGTTTAGGGCCATGGTGATTTATTTGTTTATTTTATTCAACAAACATGAGAGTAGCGAAGATAACAAATGCATATTTTAAAAGCATTCGCATTTTATGTGTAAATGATTATATAGATTATATGGAATATGTGACATATGCATAACGTCAAAGAGGGTAAGGTGGGTTAAAAGACATCAGAGTCTATATTATTCAAATAGTTAAATAATGCCTTCGAGTCCACGGAACTGAAAATAGTTTTTATATCCGAGACTCCGGAAGTAAGTATCACGAATATGTTTAAAATCTGAACATTCTATTAAAAAAATGTTCCACAGAAAATGGAGTGTCATATGCGGAGCATGCATGAAGGTGGATATTTTCGTTTTAAAGGGATATGGTACGAATGAGTAGGATATGTGTGCCCAGTACGGAGCCGAGAGAGGACAACTTTCTCTCTACGATCTTTCCGGCCGGGAACACATGTTTTAAGGTTCGGTTGTATTTTTAAAAGTTTGAATTGCTGTACGAATAATAGGTTTAAAATCTGTATATGGTAGTTTGATATTTGTTTGTTCGAGATTTAACGCATTTTTTGCTTCTCTATAAACAAATCCGTTGCCTTTAATTAAACCATGGCTCGGAATCCATAGTAAAGTTATTTTAGATTTTTTTAAGATACGAGATATTCGAAAAATAAGGTTTTGTACAAGTCTGTTTTTAGGGTCTCGTAACTGTAAACTTTGTAGAACAGATAGAGAGTCTGAACAAATGATTGCCTTTTTAATGTGTAATTCATCGCCGGATATGGTCGAGGGCCAAACCATATGGGGGCGCCGTCTGGTAGTCGAACTGAAGTGCAAGAATTAGCAGAACAGCAGGCTGCGGCCACTTTCTCACCTTCTTTGGAACCATCGGTGTAAAGTTGTGTATGAGAATGGTAATTAGAAATGCATTCCTGAAAGGAGGATTTGTGTTCGGAGGAAAAATAATAAAACTTATCGTCACTGTACATCTGTATATATAATATTTTATACATAATAAACTCTAGATCTATTAGAACTTCATAATAAACATATTCAATAAATTTTAAAACACAGTGTTTAAACAGTGCGCGCCGTTTTTTAAGGTGTGTCTTATTGAACCAATGCTATTACGTTTCCGGGAAGATAACTCTCGCTGAAGGTCATTGAAATCTAATGAAAACAGACGTGTAAATCATCGTGTTTCTTGCTGAAATACTGTAAGTTACACCACACTGGTTTTTCTTTACTTGAAAAACATAGTGACAGCTGTCCAATTGTAACCGAAGAGACTAGTTGTTCATTGTGTACTTACAACAGACCGAGGATCAGGTAAATCAGGTAAAGGTTTGCATGCTTAGGGATATCATAATAAGGGTACGTTGTAACGCAGCATAAACGAGAAGACAGGTAGGCCTAATACAGGTAATAGCCTCGTCTGTCAATAAACCTATATATTATAAGTATATTGACACTGATGAGGCTAGTACCTGTGGCCTAACTGTACTTTAGGTCACAGGTCTACCCCTGGCCAAGATTGATTCGTTCAATGGCTGATGATTACAGTACTAGTAGACCTGGGGCCTGTTCGTTTATGCGGAACAGACGGTTTGACCGTTTATAAATGTAACAATTTCGGGTATAAATCCGGCGGACCTGCAAATGTGTATGCAGGCCTTGCAAGGCTTTCTCAAGGCTTGCCTGAAAGCAGCATCACATTACTAGGTCCGACCTTATTTAATAAACGAACAACAGTGGTCCGATCGGTTTGACCGTTTAAACGAAAACGGCCCTGTATCGATTGGGGTTTAGCCATTAGAGCCACTACCATCAGCAAATGTGTCCGAATCTCAGTGAGATTGGGATTAAGGATACTGTCCCGCTGTAGTTAAAACAGAAAAGAACACTTGAACTTATACTGTGAATTTCGGGACAGTTAAATTTGCATTTACTTGATTACAGGAACAGGAACCTTCCACTCATTTTATTTTGGATGTAACAGTAGGCCTAGTTGATAAAGACCAAAATAACTACTGCTGATCGTATAGCTCAGTAGAACAGAGGTCCAGGGTTTGAGCCCCGGTGTCAGGTCATTTCGGTAACAAGACGAAAGTCGTTTCAGGACTTGTTTCGTGACATGTCAAAATTTGTTTCGAGATTTTCATTTTTTTCTTCTGTAGATACCATTGTCTTTTTTCTTCAAACATATTTTAATGTCAAATAAACTTGAACAATGGATTGGGTAAAAGTTATTACAACTTATCATAGCCTTCTCCCATCATACATTTACCATTACATGATTTTAATAAAACATGAAGTTAATATATATATAACTTTCACATAGACACAAATACAAACATAAGAACATCGTTTAAAACATATTGCTGAAAATGATGAATTAATTTACATGTCTAAAACATATTCTACAATGAATTGTGGGTGTCATTTTTACCGAAAGTCGATCTAAACCCCTAAAACATGTAAAATTACTCTGAGCACCTTAGTTTTGGTCCAAATATAGCTGTAACAAATTCTCAGGTCCCTGTGTATATGATCATTGAGGGTGTCATTTTTACCGAAACTCTATCTAAACCCCTAAAACATGTAAAATTACTCTGAGCACCTTAGTTATGGTCCAAATATAGCTGTAAAAAATTATCAGGTCCCTGTGGTTAGAATCAATGTTAACTCATTCGTCTCTTAATTAATGTCAGTAATGGACACTAGAGTGAATTGAAAACATATTATTACAATATCAAACAAGGAACCTATCAATAAGGGAAGAATTTGAATGTTGAATTTCATAAGTTCCTCTAGATCTGTATTTAATTATGAGATTAGTTTCACCAGGTAACAACACACTGTCAACCGGGTAAATGTTGGCAGGTATCCCATCAAGCACTAGCAATCTGGTAACACTAATTATAATGATCCCAAGCACGGGTAGATCGTGACACAGGTCAAAGACTAAAACCATACTTGTGAATTTACAGAACTTTATATGAGTGAAAATTTTATATGTCCCAAACGACTTGATTAAGCCCCTGAAATATCTTGTGTCATGTCGTGAAACGTCTTCGGGACTCCCGAAACGACTTGTTACCGAAATGACTAGCATTCCAAGCCCTGTAGCATTGTTCTTCTTCCTGGTATGAGTTGTAATCAGATGTAGTGCACATCTCAACACGATATGACACTACATGTGTAGCTTCCAATTAACACAGTGATCAGGTGGCTTAGCGCATCGGGCAAACGTCTTTCACCAAGATGGTTGATATCTGATTTCCTGATCGGACATACACAGATGTATACACAGATACACAGATACACAGATTTATTCTGACTGTAGGAAATTGTACAATTTCCTTTGCTGTCAGCTCAATTATAAAAGTCATGAAAAGGTATAGGGTCACCTGGCTTACCAAGTGCATAGGTTTTCTCCAGGTCACTACTCCAGTTTCCTCCCACATTAAGACCTCCATCATCATGTTGCATGCTCTGATCCAAAAAGAGTGAATTAAGTTAACATCTTTTTTCACAAATGTTGAAATAAAAAAAATAAAAAATCTTGAGTTAAAATAGAGTAAAATCAGACCTAAATCTCAAGGTTAAAACAATTTATACACTGGGGAAGGCTTTCTCACACAGGGATATCCCACGTAATATGTATCTGTACCCAATGATAGATATATTTTTCTTTTTGGCCAGTCTGTCTGGCATCTTTCGGCAACATTTTACAAAAATTTTACTCAGTGTCTGTGATGTATTCAACTGTAGCGGAACTTGACTGGGTCGATTGTCGGCGACCAGATAGCTCAATTGGTAGAGCACCCGTCTAGAGTTTGGAGGGTCCTGGGTTCGAACCCTGGTCTGGCTGTGCATGTTTCCTCTCTTGTTACACAACCACCTGCATGAATATGCAAAATTGACAATATGCATTTACGCATTATAAATTTTCTGTTTTGTCGTTGTATATATTGTTTTGATGTTGTCAGAAGAGGCCGTATTTATTTGAGACCCCAGACAGGAAACTTGTAAACTGTAGGGAAATTTAATACTTTTTAAACTATAAGGTGAGAGAAAAATCAATTACTTGTAACGGAGCAAGATCGGGATATCTCTGTCTATATTTTTCTTTTACAAATGGTGTCTGTGGCCCTCCCTGTGTGGAGACCGGAAGTTAGAACCTGAGTTGTTGTGGTGTTCTAGGGAGAACACATTTAAAAATGGGGGAGAAGTGTGGCAGATTTTAATTGTACATAGATCACGGTCACCTTCTAGCTTCGCTCTAGAGGGAATGTCCATTTAGCTCAAATGAAAGAGCAGCTGGCTTGGAAGCCGGGGGGTCGCTGGTTTGATCCACAATGGAAGCACATTGCTCTCTTTTCTGTTACAAATTTATTCAAGCTATTCTCATGCAGGTAAGATATTTCCAATTCATTAAAAGCCACATTTTTTGGTTGAGGTATGGGGATCCTAAGTTTAAGAGGCATCCACCATTTACAATTTTGATTCACAAGAGAGGTGCATGTGGGCTTGCACTTTCAATAAAAGTAAAAAAAAATGTTATTTTGGACTATTCTAATATCTGAGAAGTTGTTCCAAAAGAAATATTGCAAATGGTATAATCTAAATGTAAAGTAGAGTAAGTAAAAGTGACAGGATAGAAAAGTGTGTCGTGTAAAACCTACTTCCTTTGGACTCTGAAGACAATCATACCTGTTGCCAGGACCTACATGAGTGTAATTTAGATTTTAACATGCACATGTCCTTGAGTCTATCCATCCCTCAAACTACTGGTAAAAATTTAAGGTAAGATGTACTAATGTAAAAGATGTGCATTGATTAGGTTGCCTTACAAGCGTCAGCTGTAGGGAATTTCCCTTTAGCTCAGTGGTAGAGCATGGGGCTGGAGAGCCAAGGGTCGCAGGTTCGAGCCCCGGTGACGGCACTATCTTTATCACTATTCCTCGTCCTATTACACTTACACAACATTACAATTAACGATCAAACTACTATCACAATGTTTGTTATGATGACCAGAAAGAAATACCTATACATTGTCATTGATTGATTGTTTTTTTCTTTCCACAGAATAAAACTTGTCTGCTATTAAAGACATATAATGCCTACTGATGAGATGGGTACACTGGATGGATCAGTAAGAGTTGTCTCCCCTCTACGACAGACAGTGGACGCTAGCATTGACTTTGTTGGAGGTGTCAATGGTAATATATGGTTGTGGAAACGTTTTTATCAATAAAGTTACTTTGTGAATAAGATAATTGAAAAAAAAATGATTTTGGGGGGGAAAAGCTTAATTAAATAGGTGAAAGCTTAATGAACACCAAAAAAAGGGCAGAAAGTTTTCACATTCAGGGCTTAGAAAGGTTTCAATAAATAGCAATCTTTTGAATTTACCCATATATTCCCATGCATTGTATTTACTAATTGGAATCAAGTTGACATCAGACTGCAGGATAAAATGTGATATTCACTGTAAAGGATTTCATCTACCTTACAGATTAGGAATTGGAGATCATATAAAATTGAGATATACTTTACATCAAGTTTTTTTTTATAAAAATCTGTCATTGAGTCTGAAATGCTGCAAATTTCTTTATATTTTGTCAATTTCCTAAAGGTCTCAAATTAAACTATATCACAACTTTTCAAAATACGTTTAGCCCTATAGCCCAAAAAGGCAAGTCCAGGACACAAAATCATACTTTTCTGAAATACCTGCTATGTAAAATGCTTATACAGTGTACCTCTTGTCAAAATGATCAATCACCTGCATGTTATACTTACAGGTGGAATAGCCAATGTGGTAGTAGGTCAGTCCCTGGACACAGTCAAGGTGAAGATGCAGACATTCCCTAGCCTGTATAAAAATGCATTGGATTGTTTCATGAAAACTTACAGACAGGACGGTATAAGAGGACTATACGCTGGCACATTGCCAGCCATGACAGCCAACATAGCTGAGAACTCGGTCCTCTTCATGTTCTATGGTCTCTGTCAAAAGGTGGTGATGAACATTTGTGGGAAACAAAGTGTGGCCGACTTACATCCAGTGGAGAATGCTATATCGGGGAGTGGAGCGGCTTTCTTCTGTTCCTTCACACTCTGTCCGACAGAGCTCATCAAGTGCCGTCTACAGGCCATGAGAGAAATGGCGACACAGGGAAAATTGGAGGGAGGCATGGACAAACTGAAAATGTGTGTAAAAGTGCTTGTACCGTTAGTGAGTGTTGTACTGTGAAACCTGTCCGAAGAAGCTACTTTGATCACTCCTTTTACAAGATAGTTATTATTCTGTTTTGGTCCTTTCCCCCCAGTATATGTTATTTGAAACGAAACAGATCAGCATGGAGGGCCAGAATTTGGTCCCAAAAAACAGCTTCAAACAAAGTTACACTTTCAGAAGTAGAATGATTTACAATATCGTAATATAATTTCCCCATAACTGAAGCTTTAAAGTATATTGCATGGTCTGTTTAGTCATAATGCTTTCTTATGAAAAAGCATGTACATTGTCAGATTTGATCCGAGACACCATGTTGTTATACCCTGCTTAACGTTCAGCATTTAGGGGAATGGCAACAACTGGTTCACCCGTTATCAGTATATAATGTGACCGAGCTGAATGCTGTGCTTGGTGCCTTCGGCATGGTATTTCAGTGAGATAGCACTTTAAAGTCGGCGTCAGATCTGCGGTATCACAAGGAGGCAAGCACACCAACATACTCTGTCTCCTGCATACACTACACACATACTGTTAATAGGACATTTAATAAAGTTAAACCAAACCAAACAAATCAAAAAGGGAAAATCTTGGTGATGTCAAAAGAGGTATCACAGTCATGTGGGAAAAGTATGACTTTGAATAATACCCATAGTTAAGTGTATAATCACCAAGAGTTAAGTATCTTATTTACTAGTTGTGAAAGATAACTGGAATACCCTATTTAGGAATGGAAACCAGAAACATGTGCAATCATGATTAGTAAATTAGACAATTGTTCCTTCGGCTTATGCTAGCTGAGGTGGGTTTTTTTTCAATATTTGTGATATCCTTCATATATTATATTTTGTTTTTATGTAATGTAAGTGTTCTGTTTTTCTGTGTCATTATAAATGAATGGATTGTTCTGGAAGTTTGACAATCTGAAACTGTCTACACTGTTGGGGTTACTTCCTTGCCCCATGTAGACAATACTATGTGATATACCAATAATTATACATAGGATTGGATAAAAAGCAAAATTTTTACCTTTTAGAAGAAAACACTTGTTTTTGTAGTTTCGACCATATGTTAATGACAGAGTTGGTCAATCAACATGTGTTCTATGACTGTGTGTTGCTTTACTTACTACAAATAGACCAAGTAAGTGTTATACCAACAAAACCAGCCAAAATAGTTGTTTGAAAGTTACCAAATGTTTTTTACCAGAATTATGATATTTTTAAAAAACATATGTCTATGTTTTGCTTCTCTTGGTAGAGGACCCTGGGGGCTAACGAAAGACATCCTGCGCCAAGAAGGAATCCAGGGCATGTTCAAGGGCCTCACCAGTACCATGGCCAGGGAGGTGCCCGGCTACTTCTTCTTCTTTGGAGGCTATGAAATCTCACGACACTACCTCACACCTCCTGGCAAAACAAAAGATGAGATTGGTTTGTATATTCATATTACACCTTGTCAACAACATTGAGAAACAGAAAATTGCTCATAGAAATGTCCGTGCAGTTTATATGAAAGGATATAACATTTTGATATTTTCCATCAGTGTGAAGCATGCATGAAAAAATATCCATTTCATACCTTGTTTACCTTATTCATCTTACACCTTGTCAACAACATTGAGAAACAGAAAATTGCTCATAGAAATGTCCGTGCAGTTTATATGAAAGGATATAACATTTTGATATTTTCCATCCGTGTGAAGCATGGATGAAAAAATATCCATTTCATACCTTGTTTACCTTATTATACTGATAAAGTCAGTTTTTAAGCCATGCAATTAAAGGTCGTGTATTTTAAGCTGTGATAATACAATATGTTGTATGACCCCAGTGGACAGAACTATTTTTTGACTGGACCTTGTTGGTGGGTTATCCACTGATCAAATCCACAAACTGAAAGCAGAATTGGCGATAAACATTTTAGCACAATTTTAATGTTTTTGTAACGTGGCTTCATTATTCCATCATTGACATCTTTTTACGTGATGTTATTGTGAAGTTCCTTTTTTTTTGGGAAATGCATTGGACATAGGTACTGGGAAATAGGTACTGGGAAATGCTGAGTAAGGTTTTACAGAATATACAATCTGCCTATAAAGAACAATTTTATATCCACATATGTAGGTAACAGAACAAGCCTTACGCAGTCTGAGACATCAGATGAACACATATGTGAGGATTGCAAATTTATTTATAAAATCACGATTAGGATTCAATACCCGACTTAATCAGGAGTCATGTTGTCTTACTTTGACTGTTGACATTAAACCATGACCACATGATCAGAACAAAATAAATAATAATGAAATTTAAAAAAATCAAGTGACATTGTTCTCAAGACAGTAATGAAGACACTTATGACATGTGGGTTTCAAGACATCCACACCATGTTCAGTATTTTTCTAAAACCATGCTAGAGTTCAGATTACACTTACAGTTAACCATAGATTTGTCTTGTGGCTGTAGGTGTGTGGCGGACAGTGGTGTCTGGAGGTATAGGAGGTGTTTGTCTGTGGGTTACCATCTTCCCTACAGACGTGGTTAAGTCAAGAATCCAAGTAGAGAGCACAGTGGGCACCAAGGCCCCCGCCTTTTTTAAAACTCTCACACACATAGGAAGGACAGAAGGTATGTGTTACCCCTCCTTTTATAAACTCTCACACATAGGAAGGACAGAAGGTATGTGTTACCCCTCCTTTTATAAAACTCTCACACACATAGGAAGGACAGAAGGTATGTGTTACCCCTTCTTTTATAAACTCTCACAAACATAAGAAGGACAGAAGGTATGTGTTACCCCTCCTTTTATAAACTCTCACACACATAGGAAGGACAGAAGGTATGTGTTACCCCTCCTTTTATAAAACTCTCACACACATAGGAAGGACAGAAGGTGTGTGTTACCCCTCCTTTTATAAACTCTCACAAACATAAGAAGGACAGAAGGTATGTGTTACCCCTCCTTTTATAAACTCTCACACACATAGGAAGGACAGAAGGTATGTGTTACCCCTCCTTTTATAAACTCTCACACACATAGGAAGGACAGAAGGTATGTGTTACCCCTCCTTTTATAAACTCTCACACATAGGAAGGACAGAAGGTATGTGTTACCCCTCCTTTTATAAACTCTCACACACATAGGAAGGACAGAAGGTATGTGTTACCCCTCCTTTTATAAACTCTCACACATAGGAAGGACAGAAGGTATGTGTTACCCCTCCTTTTATAAACTCTCACACACATAGGAAGGACAGAAGGTATGTGTTACCCCTCCTTTTATAAACTCTCACACATAGGAAGGACAGAAGGTATGTGTTACCCCTCCTTTTATAAACTCTCACACACATAGGAAGGACAGAAGGTATGTGTTACCCCTCCTTTTATAAACTCTCACACATAGGAAGGACAGAAGGTATGTGTTACCCCTCCTTTTATAAACTCTCACACACATAGGAAGGACAGAAGGTATGTGTTACCCCTCCTTTTATAAACTCTCACACATAGGAAGGACAGAAGGTATGTGTTACCCCTCCTTTTATAAACTCTCACACACATAGGAAGGACAGAAGGTATGTGTTACCCCTCCTTTTATAAACTCTCACACATAGGAAGGACAGAAGGTATGTGTTACCCCTCCTTTTATAAACTCTCACACACATAGGAAGGACAGAAGGTATGTGTTACCCCTCCTTTTATAAACTCTCACACATAGGAAGGACAGAAGGTATGTGTTACCCCTCCTTTTATAAACTCTCACACACATAGGAAGGACAGAAGGTATGTGTTACCCCTCCTTTTATAAACTCTCACACATAGGAAGGACAGAAGGTATGTGTTACCCCTCCTTTTATAAACTCTCACACACATAGGAAGGACAGAAGGTATGTGTTACCCCTCCTTTTATAAACTCTCACACATAGGAAGGACAGAAGGTATGTGTTACCCCTCCTTTTATAAACTCTCACACACATAGGAAGGACAGAAGGTATGTGTTACCCCTCCTTTTATAAACTCTCACACATAGGAAGGACAGAAGGTATGTGTTACCCCTCCTTTTATAAACTCTCACACACATAGGAAGGACAGAAGGTATGTGTTACCCCTCCTTTTATAAACTCTCACACATAGGAAGGACAGAAGGTATGTGTTACCCCTCCTTTTATAAACTCTCACACACATAGGAAGGACAGAAGGTATGTGTTACCCCTCCTTTTATAAACTCTCACACATAGGAAGGACAGAAGGTATGTGTTACCCCTCCTTTTATAAACTCTCACACACATAGGAAGGACAGAAGGTATGTGTTACCCCTCCTTTTATAAACTCTCACACATAGGAAGGACAGAAGGTATGTGTTACCCCTCCTTTTATAAACTCTCACACACATAGGAAGGACAGAAGGTATGTGTTACCCCTCCTTTTATAAACTCTCACACATAGGAAGGACAGAAGGTATGTGTTACCCCTCCTTTTATAAACTCTCACACACATAGGAAGGACAGAAGGTATGTGTTACCCCTCCTTTTATAAACTCTCACACATAGGAAGGACAGAAGGTATGTGTTACCCCTCCTTTTATAAACTCTCACACACATAGGAAGGACAGAAGGTATGTGTTACCCCTCCTTTTATAAACTCTCACACATAGGAAGGACAGAAGGTATGTGTTACCCCTCCTTTTATAAACTCTCACACACATAGGAAGGACAGAAGGTATGTGTTACCCCTCCTTTTATAAACTCTCACACATAGGAAGGACAGAAGGTATGTGTTACCCCTCCTTTTATAAACTCTCACACACATAGGAAGGACAGAAGGTATGTGTTACCCCTCCTTTTATAAACTCTCACACATAGGAAGGACAGAAGGTATGTGTTACCCCTCCTTTTATAAACTCTCACACACATAGGAAGGACAGAAGGTATGTGTTACCCCTCCTTTTATAAACTCTCACACATAGGAAGGACAGAAGGTATGTGTTACCCCTCCTTTTATAAACTCTCACACACATAGGAAGGACAGAAGGTATGTGTTACCCCTCCTTTTATAAACTCTCACACATAGGAAGGACAGAAGGTATGTGTTACCCCTCCTTTTATAAACTCTCACACACATAGGAAGGACAGAAGGTATGTGTTACCCCTCCTTTTATAAACTCTCACACATAGGAAGGACAGAAGGTATGTGTTACCCCTCCTTTTATAAACTCTCACACACATAGGAAGGACAGAAGGTATGTGTTACCCCTCCTTTTATAAACTCTCACACATAGGAAGGACAGAAGGTATGTGTTACCCCTCCTTTTATAAACTCTCACACACATAGGAAGGACAGAAGGTATGTGTTACCCCTCCTTTTATAAACTCTCACACATAGGAAGGACAGAAGGTATGTGTTACCCCTCCTTTTATAAACTCTCACACACATAGGAAGGACAGAAGGTATGTGTTACCCCTCCTTTTATAAACTCTCACACATAGGAAGGACAGAAGGTATGTGTTACCCCTCCTTTTATAAACTCTCACACACATAGGAAGGACAGAAGGTATGTGTTACCCCTCCTTTTATAAACTCTCACACATAGGAAGGACAGAAGGTATGTGTTACCCCTCCTTTTATAAACTCTCACACACATAGGAAGGACAGAAGGTATGTGTTACCCCTCCTTTTATAAACTCTCACACATAGGAAGGACAGAAGGTATGTGTTACCCCTCCTTTTATAAACTCTCACACACATAGGAAGGACAGAAGGTATGTGTTACCCCTCCTTTTATAAACTCTCACACATAGGAAGGACAGAAGGTATGTGTTACCCCTCCTTTTATAAACTCTCACACACATAGGAAGGACAGAAGGTATGTGTTACCCCTCCTTTTATAAACTCTCACACATAGGAAGGACAGAAGGTATGTGTTACCCCTCCTTTTATAAACTCTCACACACATAGGAAGGACAGAAGGTATGTGTTACCCCTCCTTTTATAAACTCTCACACATAGGAAGGACAGAAGGTATGTGTTACCCCTCCTTTTATAAACTCTCACACACATAGGAAGGACAGAAGGTATGTGTTACCCCTCCTTTTATAAACTCTCACACATAGGAAGGACAGAAGGTATGTGTTACCCCTCCTTTTATAAACTCTCACACACATAGGAAGGACAGAAGGTATGTGTTACCCCTCCTTTTATAAACTCTCACACATAGGAAGGACAGAAGGTATGTGTTACCCCTCCTTTTATAAACTCTCACACACATAGGAAGGACAGAAGGTATGTGTTACCCCTCCTTTTATAAACTCTCACACATAGGAAGGACAGAAGGTATGTGTTACCCCTCCTTTTATAAACTCTCACACACATAGGAAGGACAGAAGGTATGTGTTACCCCTCCTTTTATAAACTCTCACACATAGGAAGGACAGAAGGTATGTGTTACCCCTCCTTTTATAAACTCTCACACACATAGGAAGGACAGAAGGTATGTGTTACCCCTCCTTTTATAAACTCTCACACATAGGAAGGACAGAAGGTATGTGTTACCCCTCCTTTTATAAACTCTCACACACATAGGAAGGACAGAAGGTATGTGTTACCCCTCCTTTTATAAACTCTCACACATAGGAAGGACAGAAGGTATGTGTTACCCCTCCTTTTATAAACTCTCACACACATAGGAAGGACAGAAGGTATGTGTTACCCCTCCTTTTATAAACTCTCACACATAGGAAGGACAGAAGGTATGTGTTACCCCTCCTTTTATAAACTCTCACACACATAGGAAGGACAGAAGGTATGTGTTACCCCTCCTTTTATAAACTCTCACACATAGGAAGGACAGAAGGTATGTGTTACCCCTCCTTTTATAAACTCTCACACACATAGGAAGGACAGAAGGTATGTGTTACCCCTCCTTTTATAAACTCTCACACATAGGAAGGACAGAAGGTATGTGTTACCCCTCCTTTTATAAACTCTCACACACATAGGAAGGACAGAAGGTATGTGTTACCCCTCCTTTTATAAACTCTCACACATAGGAAGGACAGAAGGTATGTGTTACCCCTCCTTTTATAAACTCTCACACACATAGGAAGGACAGAAGGTATGTGTTACCCCTCCTTTTATAAACTCTCACACATAGGAAGGACAGAAGGTATGTGTTACCCCTCCTTTTATAAACTCTCACACACATAGGAAGGACAGAAGGTATGTGTTACCCCTCCTTTTATAAACTCTCACACATAGGAAGGACAGAAGGTATGTGTTACCCCTCCTTTTATAAACTCTCACACACATAGGAAGGACAGAAGGTATGTGTTACCCCTCCTTTTATAAACTCTCACACATAGGAAGGACAGAAGGTATGTGTTACCCCTCCTTTTATAAACTCTCACACACATAGGAAGGACAGAAGGTATGTGTTACCCCTCCTTTTATAAACTCTCACACATAGGAAGGACAGAAGGTATGTGTTACCCCTCCTTTTATAAACTCTCACACACATAGGAAGGACAGAAGGTATGTGTTACCCCTCCTTTTATAAACTCTCACACATAGGAAGGACAGAAGGTATGTGTTACCCCTCCTTTTATAAACTCTCACACACATAGGAAGGACAGAAGGTATGTGTTACCCCTCCTTTTATAAACTCTCACACATAGGAAGGACAGAAGGTATGTGTTACCCCTCCTTTTATAAACTCTCACACACATAGGAAGGACAGAAGGTATGTGTTACCCCTCCTTTTATAAACTCTCACACATAGGAAGGACAGAAGGTATGTGTTACCCCTCCTTTTATAAACTCTCACACACATAGGAAGGACAGAAGGTATGTGTTACCCCTCCTTTTATAAACTCTCACACATAGGAAGGACAGAAGGTATGTGTTACCCCTCCTTTTATAAACTCTCACACACATAGGAAGGACAGAAGGTATGTGTTACCCCTCCTTTTATAAACTCTCACACATAGGAAGGACAGAAGGTATGTGTTACCCCTCCTTTTATAAACTCTCACACACATAGGAAGGACAGAAGGTATGTGTTACCCCTCCTTTTATAAACTCTCACACATAGGAAGGACAGAAGGTATGTGTTACCCCTCCTTTTATAAACTCTCACACACATAGGAAGGACAGAAGGTATGTGTTACCCCTCCTTTTATAAACTCTCACACATAGGAAGGACAGAAGGTATGTGTTACCCCTCCTTTTATAAACTCTCACACACATAGGAAGGACAGAAGGTATGTGTTACCCCTCCTTTTATAAACTCTCACACATAGGAAGGACAGAAGGTATGTGTTACCCCTCCTTTTATAAACTCTCACACACATAGGAAGGACAGAAGGTATGTGTTACCCCTCCTTTTATAAACTCTCACACATAGGAAGGACAGAAGGTATGTGTTACCCCTCCTTTTATAAACTCTCACACACATAGGAAGGACAGAAGGTATGTGTTACCCCTCCTTTTATAAACTCTCACACATAGGAAGGACAGAAGGTATGTGTTACCCCTCCTTTTATAAACTCTCACACACATAGGAAGGACAGAAGGTATGTGTTACCCCTCCTTTTATAAACTCTCACACATAGGAAGGACAGAAGGTATGTGTTACCCCTCCTTTTATAAACTCTCACACACATAGGAAGGACAGAAGGTATGTGTTACCCCTCCTTTTATAAACTCTCACACATAGGAAGGACAGAAGGTATGTGTTACCCCTCCTTTTATAAACTCTCACACACATAGGAAGGACAGAAGGTATGTGTTACCCCTCCTTTTATAAACTCTCACACATAGGAAGGACAGAAGGTATGTGTTACCCCTCCTTTTATAAACTCTCACACACATAGGAAGGACAGAAGGTATGTGTTACCCCTCCTTTTATAAACTCTCACACATAGGAAGGACAGAAGGTATGTGTTACCCCTCCTTTTATAAACTCTCACACACATAGGAAGGACAGAAGGTATGTGTTACCCCTCCTTTTATAAACTCTCACACATAGGAAGGACAGAAGGTATGTGTTACCCCTCCTTTTATAAACTCTCACACACATAGGAAGGACAGAAGGTATGTGTTACCCCTCCTTTTATAAACTCTCACACATAGGAAGGACAGAAGGTATGTGTTACCCCTCCTTTTATAAACTCTCACACACATAGGAAGGACAGAAGGTATGTGTTACCCCTCCTTTTATAAACTCTCACACATAGGAAGGACAGAAGGTATGTGTTACCCCTCCTTTTATAAACTCTCACACACATAGGAAGGACAGAAGGTATGTGTTACCCCTCCTTTTATAAACTCTCACACATAGGAAGGACAGAAGGTATGTGTTACCCCTCCTTTTATAAACTCTCACACACATAGGAAGGACAGAAGGTATGTGTTACCCCTCCTTTTATAAACTCTCACACATAGGAAGGACAGAAGGTATGTGTTACCCCTCCTTTTATAAACTCTCACACACATAGGAAGGACAGAAGGTATGTGTTACCCCTCCTTTTATAAACTCTCACACATAGGAAGGACAGAAGGTATGTGTTACCCCTCCTTTTATAAACTCTCACACACATAGGAAGGACAGAAGGTATGTGTTACCCCTCCTTTTATAAACTCTCACACATAGGAAGGACAGAAGGTATGTGTTACCCCTCCTTTTATAAACTCTCACACACATAGGAAGGACAGAAGGTATGTGTTACCCCTCCTTTTATAAACTCTCACACATAGGAAGGACAGAAGGTATGTGTTACCCCTCCTTTTATAAACTCTCACACACATAGGAAGGACAGAAGGTATGTGTTACCCCTCCTTTTATAAACTCTCACACATAGGAAGGACAGAAGGTATGTGTTACCCCTCCTTTTATAAACTCTCACACACATAGGAAGGACAGAAGGTATGTGTTACCCCTCCTTTTATAAACTCTCACACATAGGAAGGACAGAAGGTATGTGTTACCCCTCCTTTTATAAACTCTCACACACATAGGAAGGACAGAAGGTATGTGTTACCCCTCCTTTTATAAACTCTCACACATAGGAAGGACAGAAGGTATGTGTTACCCCTCCTTTTATAAACTCTCACACACATAGGAAGGACAGAAGGTATGTGTTACCCCTCCTTTTATAAACTCTCACACATAGGAAGGACAGAAGGTATGTGTTACCCCTCCTTTTATAAACTCTCACACACATAGGAAGGACAGAAGGTATGTGTTACCCCTCCTTTTATAAACTCTCACACATAGGAAGGACAGAAGGTATGTGTTACCCCTCCTTTTATAAGATGTGCACACACATAGGAAGGACAGAAGGTATGTGTTAGTCCTCCTTTTATAAAACTTGCACACACATAGGAAGGGCAGAAGGTATGTGTTAGTCCTCCTTTTATAAAACTCTCACACACATAGGAAGGACAGAAAGTATGTGTTACCCCTCCTTTTATAAAACACTCACACACATAAGAAGGACAGAAGGTATGTGTTATTATGAGAGCTTTCGACGCAAACAGAATTTTATCCATGTTCCTGCTCCTACATGATATTAGTCTTACTTGATATCATTTCACACATTTTATATTAAAGATTTGATATAAAGTTGTCAAATAAGTATTTAAAAATCGGTCAAAAATCCAGCATTGGCCATGTATTAAAATTCCCCTCTTAAGTTGCAAAAGTGTTCTAAATTTCATTCAATCACTATTAAACGTTAGTGATTATCTCTGTTGTCCTTGAATTTGTTTTGATATATTTTACAATTTTGTAGTGTACCAGCATTCGCTTGTGTGCCTGTTTGAAATCAGGATTTTATTTTCTGATATTCTTTAATACAATAACAGTCTTGGTAAATTTTATATTGGTTTTTAATTATACCAGGTATCAGAGCTTTATATAATGGACTAGGACCTACTGTGGTAAGGACATTCCCCTCTACTGGTGCCCTGTTTCTTACCTACGAGACGACAAAGAGAGTTCTCACAGATTTTGCTGACAGAAATATATGAAAGATCTGTTGAATTTGTTTTTCACATGATTTTTGAAGATTTTGAACTTTTGCCATGTACTTTCAAACAGGATTTTGCTTGCACCATGCTTCATTCAGGCATCAAAGTATTTCGATCTTTTTTTAATAGTATAAAGAAAAGCTGGTAAAAGTTCAGCTTGTTAAAGAATAGCTTGTTAAAGTAAAGTACATTGTATCTGGACCATGTAAAGCTCACTAAAGTACAGCTGGTCAAAATGTCCGGTTATAGTATTATTGGTAAAGTGTAGCTGGTTAAAGTAACTAGTTACAGGATAGTTTGTTAACACAAAACTGGTAAAGTTGACCTAGTTGCAATATCTTATAAAAGCAATACTCGGAACGAAATAACAGCTTGTTAAAGTATAGCTGGTTAAAATATCTGGTAAAAGTATAACTGGTTAAAGTATAGTTTGTTGAAGTATATTAAAGTATAACTGATAAAGTATAGCTGGTAAAGTATAACTGGTAAAGTATAGCTGGTTAAAATATAGTTTGTTGAAGTATATTAAAGTATAACTGATAAAGTATAGCTGGTAAAGTATAACTGGTAAAGTATAGCTGGTTAATATATAGTTTGTTGAAGTATATTAAAGTATAGCTGGTAAAGTATAGCTGAGCTGGTAAATATAGCTGAACTGGTAAAGTATAGCTGGTTAAAATATCTGGTAAAGTATAGCTGGTTAAAATATCTGGTAAAGTATTTTTGTTGAAGTATATTAAAGTATGACTGGTTAAAGTATAACTAGTTCAAGTAACTAGTTACAGTTGTTAGTATATAGATGGTTATGTTAACCTAGTTGTAATATTGGTTAAACTATAACTGATTTAGTGAAGCTGGCTGAATATAATTGGTAAAAAAAGCTGGTTAAAGTAAATCTGGTAAAGTATAGCTGGTTATTTTTGCTAATGGTAAATTCATGAATACAACATGATTGAGATCGTTTATAATAAAATACTACTCCGAAGCTAGTTTTAAACAACACTGTATTCACTGGTAATTTTTCACATTAACACGAAAAATGAAACTGCTTTAAAACGAAACAGTAAACAGTAAAAGTCTTTCAAAATGAAAACCCTTTAAATGTTGATTAATGATGTACAAAATGGGCTTTTCCATGATTAATTTAACGGAAGAGTTGATGGCATTTTATTCAAAAATGCATGGTTGATGGAGTGATTTAAATAAAGACACTAATTACAGTTTTTTAGATCACTACTGACACTTGATATACAGCCCCCACTCTCTTTAATACAATTAGTTCTGGATCAGCTCATGGTCTCTAAACTCATATTTGTGCCAAATGTTTTTATATATGAGATTAGAAATATGAACTTGTCCTTTTGTTCATGTGTCCAAATTAAATAGAGATATGGTTTGAAGGTTTGATATTATAGAAACTTGGTATACAGTGTATATCAGATATGTTAAATTTGTGTTTGTCACATTCCTTCAGTGATAACTTGATGTGGCTGTGATTGCTGTCTATCATGTAGTATTGAACAATTTTTCACACTGTATATAGAGCGAGGATATTGACCTGTCGCCCATGTGTCGGTGTGTCAACATTTTCATGAATGAAAATATTCTGCATATTAACATTTTCCCTTTTTGTTTTTTCACATTTTTGTGACATCAGGATGTTTTTAATGTTTGCTTGGTATGCCAGGTCTGATTCTGGTGCATCTAATTGTGCTTGGAGACATTTAAGAAGCATGATCTGGCTTTGAAGTATTATATATATGCATACTACAGGAAACATAATACATACTCTTATTTTTTACCACTCAACATACTCTTATAAAGACAGTAACTTTTAATCTGAAAGATATATTTCACCTAGTGACAATACATGTATGACTTTTATAAAGTTGATACAGCCTAAACCTCACTGCTACAAAATGTGATAAATAGAGAATATTGAATGGTTGCTCACCATATCCCAGAGACATCACAGGGACATTGTTCACACCAGTACTTTGATAGACTCATTTCATACCTGGCTTACTTTACACAGGTAGAACCTGTGTGAAATATTCACAGTTGTGTTACATTTGATTTATAGAAAAAAAACGACATGCCTTGTGGGGCTAGAAAAAAACGCCAAAATCACATTTTCAGCAATCTTCATTACTCAAAAGATACATTTTGGGTTAACCTTACAATAAACCTATTTCTGCCCACAACGTGCAAACATGTTTTTGCTGATAAATACAATATCTCGCAGGCATTTTAACATGCAAATGAGGCAATGTACTAACTTGAGATTACATTAACAAAAAACAAAAATGATATGAGCTAAGCAAAACAATGTTCATGTGAGCAAAATTATGAAATTTGAAATAAGTGCCAAATAAAAGATCGAATACGGGTGATTGAGAACACAGGTTCCCATATGATTATTGTGTCCCAAGGAATAATAAAAATACGATTCTCATAAGCCAACACGACAGTAAGCTATATTGCATTACCAATTAATAACATTAATTTAAGTGTTAAATCAATACTCTTAACTGCACGTATCTGGGCAGCAAAGCAGGCTACTTTTCATTATATCATTCATTAATGGTCAACTATGTTCATTAGATAGGAGAGAAAAAAACAGAACAAAGGATGAAAAGTATTTTGCATTACCTTATTGAACGCTTGCACTGTTTTTACACATGAATGCAATCACCGTCTTTTAGTAACTTTAGTTTCCGATTATCCTCATTCCACTCGTCAGTCATATTGTTATTGTAAAATGGTATACAACTATAAAATGGCAGGCAGTAGCAAACTGTCTGGTAAAATACCACCAATTTGTTTACTTGAGCAATTCCAATGCCTGCTCAGGGAAGCTCATATCAACTTTTGTGATTTTGGAGGTAAGCAAATTGTAAGACTCAAGAGCAGAAGTTAGCACTTTCAGTACGGGTTGAATACTTGCTCCGCTTGTTGAAAGCAGTTAGATATTTTTGAATTCTTGAATAGTACACTGTAATATGGCTGTGTACCTAAGTCTACCCAGCTTGACAATCGGTACCTTGAGGGTAGTCGACCCAGCTTGACAATCAGTACCTTTAGGGTAGTCCTGCAAAAGACTAGCATCCTTCCTTGAGGGAGTCTTATATTTTTCATTACCTCTTTTCATTAATAATCGGTTAAGTTCGAGCTTTACTTTGCTTACATGTAACTCATGGAATTGACAATGTAAAAAAGAGTGATGTTCTTGTATGTAGGCCGGAAGCCAGTCAAGGGTTGCTGTTATACACATAAAACCATATGTATGTACTGAAAAATATTTAAGCAGGTTTTCGTTGGGTTTTTCGTCATATACATGGTTTGATATGCGTTATACCAAGAAGGTTTTGTTAAAACATTTATTAAAGGGTTTTTTTACAAATGTTTTATCTTTTACAACATGTTATATGTATGTAATATACAAGCAAAATTATATTTTGTAGATGTGTTTTGTGGTTTTGCAATATAATTATTTTTCAAAAGTGTTATCATAAATGTTTGACATGTGACCATGTTTTTACAGATAGGTTCCAGTCTTTTCGTTTTTGTTCCCCAAGATAATCAGGTAATCTCTGATCCCAAACATAATCCTACCATCTTGGCTCCAAAGAGATAATTCAGTATTGTTCTTGGTAAATAATCTAGCTTCTTAGTTTCAAGTTTTATAATCCAGCCAGTTGTTCATGGATAAAACAACCATCTTTGTGGTTTGTAGATAACACTTTTATTTCCAGCAAAAGGTACATGATTGTGAGATGGCTGAACTAGATGGATATTTATATGTAGAAAAAGAAAAATATTTTTCCTAACAACTGGCTCAATAACGAAACAATGGGATTAAAGTGGCTGATTTAACGAGGATCAGCTGTATCGGAACTTGCTGATAGCTGTAACCTTGCTACCCCTGTTGGAAATCACAAGGTTTATGTATATCAATTGGTACAGAATACTACATTTGTTTAATTTATAACATATTAAGGTGAAAATTATGAACACAATCAGCGGTGTTCACTTTTTGTCACAGGGTTTTTAAGAAAGGTATATTAACCCACTGTTTAGATTGTAGTCTTAAATTTCTCTTGTCGTATGTGCTAAACTTGTTATACAAAGTCAGTAGTGATCTGTTTGACACGTTTATATGATTAAACTTATATTGTATGTTACAGATGTACGACCACATCACACCCACTCAAAATGTGTTTTCAAATAGATAGGTGATATCATTATCAAGAATCTCATTTAACTTATAAGTAGCACTTAAAACTAACTTTTACCAAAGATTGTGTATATAATCAAGAGATATTTCAGATAAGTGATATAGAGAGAGAAAAAGACTCATGTTAAACAGTATTCAGTAGTTTATATCAATTAATATATATCGTTGCGTATAGAATAGTGAGACATTTTGACAGCGGTAGAGCCTTAATGTTTTAAAAGTATTGATAAATTGGAGGTAAAGTAATATGTTTACCGCGTCATGGTGTCTTTCGTCTGTCTGTCAATATTTTCTTCTGTAAAGAGTGGTATAGAAAAGGAGTGCTTTTTATATATGATGTAATTAAAGAAGATGGTTCTTTTTATAATTTTGTAGAATTTCAACATAGATATGATATAAGGTCCAATTTTTTAACTTTTCATAGTATAATTAGTGCTATAAAACAGTTTATAAATAGTAAACAAGAAATCTTTGCTTTAGAAAAGAGTATTTGTTTACCTAATATACCTTTAAATCTTAATATTATATTAAGGAGGACTAAAGGGGCACAGGATATTTATGCTGTTTTATGCCGAAATGATACAAAACCCACGTCACAAAGGAAATGGTCTACGGTTTTTAACATTCAGGACAAATTATGGATAAAGATTTATGCATGTCCTTTTAAAACTACTGAAAGTACTAAATTAAGATGGCTTCAATACCGAATTAACCATAGAATCTTAACTACAAACACACTCCTACAAAAAATGGGAATAAAACAAAATTCAACTTGTACTTTTTGTAAAAGATTTCCAGAAACAATTGAACATCTATTTTGGGATTGTGGTAAAGTATGTGAAATTTTGAGAGAACTAAAACAATTGCTTGCAACCAGTAATATTGATTTGAATTTTGACAAACAGGAATTTATATTTGGACAATTCAGTTCAAAGGATGCTGATTTGATAGTGGATAATCTTATCCTATTATTGATTAAACAATACATTTTTAAAATGAAATGCCTAGAAATAGAACTCAATATAACAAGTTTAAAGAATCACATTCTTTTTGAACTTAAATCTCATAAGATATTGATAATTAAGCATAAAAACTGCAAAAATAATATAGTCTTGCTTAATAAAGTAGAAAAATGGCTTCTCTTATAAAATAATGTGAACAATTATCATTATACTATAAAGAAAAGTTTGCAATCCCCCCCCCCTGTGAGTGTGTATGTGTATATGTGTACTATGTGTACAGTATATAATTAGTCTCTTGTAAAGAGGTGTCCGTTGTGAAGGGAATTGTAATCAATGTAATGTATGCTTGTTGCTTTGTGTGTAAATGTGTTGTTTATAAAAAAGAAAAACTGAATAAAAAAAATAAAAAAAAATATTTTCTTCTAAAGGTCAGAATCTTAAAAAAATTACTGATCTCTCGATTAAACCAGATTCGCTGGGTCAAGGGGATGAATCGTAAGTACAAAGTGGAGAATTTATAAGAGAGAAATTAGTTTATGTTAAAAATGAAAGTTGGTTTGTGATTATTGTCCATGTGTTATGGCCGAACTTGGACAACACATTACTTACATGTGATTTATCTCGCATTGTACAAAGTACGACTGTGGCCTGGAGCTGTGTCTGCTAAGACTGACTAGATTTTTATTGATTTTTATAACACCTAGTAATTGTTACAATACATCCATGATTAATCTAATTTTAAATCAGTAGTGATCATATTCATGCAATATGATACCGTATCAGTCTAAGATGGTCGACTCAACTTCTGTTTAACTTCTGACGAAAGACATATTTACTTTTGTGTAGTCAAAATAAACAGTTTCTATAATATTTGCATATCAAATTGTATCCAGGTTTTTATTAAAAGATACATGTTTACAATGTTTAACGGACACAGTCAACCAGTTTAATCGGAATAGATAAGTTGGTTATCCTATTAATTTCATTTTGTTTTCCTTTGTTAGAAAATGCAAAGCTCCTTAGGTACTGTTATTTTTCATGGATAACGGAAAGTATATATTCGTCAGGCGCATTTGCTACAAATATCTTTTTATATAAAAAATAAAAAAAAACATTAATGTGTTTCTTAGAATCTTTTTCGGACAAATAATTTCTTATGTGATAAAGCAATAGAGATATTCAAGGTTGTTTTTGTCTGATCAGAAAAAAACTGGTGGTAAATGTACATGTAGTTGAATACATCATAGTGTTGCTTTGTGCCTGAAAGCTACTGAAACTTCATTCTGTTTTGTTGTGTGATCTTCATGTTGAATGTGCCTGTCATACATACTATGTATATGTTTGGCATGCTCCATTTGATTATTTCATCAAAGAATGTTCATATTTTATAATAAATTCAAGAACAAATTATTGGCTTTCTGTTATCCTTAACTATATATGTTTAATATAATAGATGAAGTGTTGGAGAGATTTATTCCTAGTGAATATCAATGATCTGCGGTGCTGCCTTGACGATTTGCCAACAATAGTGTAACAGTACCAGTAAAACCACTGTTTACATTGTAGTTGTTTTTCCCGGCAAATTCATCCATGTAGACATGAAGGATGGGTGGGGGTGGTATGTTCTAGATATGAATCAGATCCTTAGTGTATTAAAACGCTTCAGGCCTAACGGTAAACCTAGTTCTTCAGTAAAGAGCGCTTAATGAACAAAACAGTCATCGTGCTTGGTATAATGTTAACAGAAATTGAAGAAACGTACGTTTGGATGTTATTGCCTTTTCTTCGGGTTTTATATTACGTTCCCATAGGTTGGTAATCTCTCGTTCATTAGTACATATGTATGATTGGTATAGCTTTGAACACACGTTTACAAGGGTCTGTTCTTCACTTAAACAAAACAGGCATGCTTATATGCTCGTTACCGTGTGAAGAGAAAGGGGTCTTTAAGGTCGACTTAAGTTCTTTCTAGATAGTCTACTTCTTGGTCGGTGGCAATTGTTTTATTATGACCTCATATGTGAAGGACGATGTCTCCTTATTATGTGAAAATACATATGTGTGTGCTAATACATTTCGATGTTTGCAAAGTATCAATATTGCACGAAGACATGATTAAGTAGAAAAGGTAAAGGTATATAAATGTCTACATAATTATATATACGAGGGAGTTGTTTAACGGATGTACTGGTCATTTCAATGAACACATGTGACACCTTATAGAGATTAAGGCAACACACGGTGCTTCTGTATGACAGATTCCTTTAAATGAGTCATAGTGCATATTGTTGCATACAAACAAGAGGCTAGGCGCCCAACTAAATATACAAAAGTGTATTAGTCACAAGATGGTGTGCTTCGTTAGCTGTCCAGGCCCGCTCTCCCTCCGCACAACCAATCCAACCCTATTCATGCTTTCCGGCCCACCTACGTCCAATTTTGTACATGCCACTAATGTTGCCGGCTTTGGTTCGTGACTGCCCTGGTCAGCCGATAGACAAGTTCCTGACTACCTAGTTCAGTCGATTGACGAGTTCGTGACTACCCTGGTCAGCCGATTGACAAACATTCATGATGATGCTTGATTGTACAAGGTTTGATACTTAGATATTAGAAGGTCTAAAGATAAATACATTCATATATTTATATATTCATTTATTTCAGCGTTTCGTTACACATATGGAGTGTTAGTTTGAGAATCTCCTCTGGAAATAATGATTTTACAGTAATTGGTTAATCAATATACATATTTCTTCTTCAGTATCACTTTTAGATATCACAAAGGAAACATTGGTCATATGTAGTTAAATTATGCTTGCAGCAATAATTACCCATCATTTTTAGTGAAACAATTTGATTTTTATTTGAAACTACTAATCTAGAAAACCAATCAGTCATTCACTTCCAGAAGCTGCTTTCATTTCCACTAGAAATGATCGCATGGTAACATGCCATTAAACAATAAAGATCTTTGTAGAATGAATCATTAGTGACAAAACAGAAATAGGACAAGGACATTTATGTCTATAGGTCGTGTACAGATAAATTAAGCTCCATTAAATCGCAATATGGCTACGGGACCCGGTTGTAGACAACCTTAGTAATTGCGCTTGACGAGTCTGTAACTGTAAAAGCTATTTTAGAGAGAAAAACAGTTACATATATTTCCGTTTCTTGTTTTCAGATGATAATGTTGATTCCATTTGCCTGTAAAAGTTCTGTGTCCTAGTTTATTTTAAAAAGCCTCGTGTTGTATTGTCGCTAAAGTTACCTGGCATTCAACCGCCGGACCAAGAAACATAGGAGTGAGTATGCACTGAAATTGTATATTGTTTTATTATTTTATTGTAGCTTTAAATGACTGATATTTCGTTTTGGCTTGTTAAGAGGACGCCAATCAATGTCATGTGTTTTAACAATGACCGTTGGTCTCTGGGACAGCAGCGTAATGACACACCGACACCGGTTAAAAGGTTTAGAACAATGGCGTAAGATGACTCTTTAAGTAGTATTGGATATTGGCAAATGTGACAAGGGGGAAAATTGACACAAAAGTAAGCTTTCTACATGTTAGGAGGCACGGTAGTCTAGTGGTAGGACGCCGGGCTCGTGACCGAGGGGTAGCGGGTCCGCCTCACGGCACGGCATTGTGTTGTTTCTTTGAGCAAGATACTTTACTACGCTTATTCCAGTCTACTCGGCTGTAAATGAGTACGTGGTTGGGCAGAGCTAGAAATGTTGAATGCTAGCTGTGAGCGCCGAAATGGCAGCACCGGCTGTATTCTCCCAATGGAGTTGAAAAAGGTATTTGCTGGTTGCAAAGGCCCTATCTCACGGATAATGATTTGTGAACCGCTTTGAGATGACCTACGAACTAATCTTTGATAGAGCGATATAAAAGGGCCTCGAATTATATTAATTATTATTATTAACATGCTGCCAAACCTAAACCAAAAGGCTTTATATCTTAATTGTGAATATGACAATCCTCACGGTAATGGTGGACATCTGATGTTGCATTGTCTGTATTTACCTGTTTAAAGTATTGCCGTTAATATGGCCTCTAGAGAATATAACTACTGCTAAAGCACTTTTTCTGTCAGAGGACAATATTTTACTTTTGGATATCATTAACCGGTGAATTTTATACAGATTGCTGAATACCAATATAAAGCGAAAACATTGACACATTTTGGTGTTTTTGTAATCTCTCCAAGTTTGATATTGAAAACAAAAATCGAGTGGGTTTCAAGATTGTGATCAGATTACATATTCATTATAATACCATAGCAACGTTTTTCCTATTGACGACAACATTTTTCTGGTTACTGCTAATCTCTCCAAGTTTGATATTGAAAACAAAAATCGAGTGGGTTTCAAGATTGTGATCAGATTACATATTCATTATAATACCATAGCAACGTTTTTCCTATAGACGACAACATTTTTCTGGTTACTGCTGAAGTACAGCACCTTTGCTAGCGGCACTTTATAAATACTTGAATTATCAAAGTACTGTGGGCTACAAATTATTTTAGTCTCGGCCTGCCATAACAGACATCAACAGTCTATATTTCGTGGTAGAGGTAACCATCGGTTTGATTGACCAGCATTCAGTTTGCCTTCTTGAATATTGTTGGGGTATAATAAAGTAATATAGTAAAGGATATTTTCACGTGTACCATGCATCTAGATTATCCTTGCAAGTATTGAAAAATTAGTAAAATGAGGAAATTTTGATTGTATTACACTCACGGCTGGTGTCATGACTTGATGGCATATCGCTTTACTTTACCCAGTCCCACATAAAACAACAAGGTCGTGTTGAATGGTCTATAACCCCTTTAAAACCCTTAGCATTATAATCCTACACAATATTATTTCCTTTTTATAAATAAATAATACTGTACGGAAAACAGTACTGCATGTTTTCAGCACCTGTATGTTATTGATTCACAGTAAGAAATATCGGTCGCTAATTTAACAGTGTTTATATAAAGGAACTTTGAAATAGTAATTAATCGAGATGTTCAATGTCTTCATCATTAATCGTTAAAAATGTATATACTGAAAACATTTTAGACAAACTGCGTTCGGAGCCAGCATACAATAGCTCAAATGTCTACAATGAACTCCGACGACCCAGGCTGTACTTGATTGGAACATAATGGGTTCGTATTAACATGTTGTTGGTCTTTTCCAAGTTCGAAATGGGCTTCACTAAACGATGTATCTTTCTCCAGTCAGTTATCATTTTTGGAATGTCAGATAGCACTATCATGGAACACAGCAGACTTAGGATTAATCCTCCAATCACACCGAATGCTCTGGCAGACGGTCGCTTGTCCTCCGCGCTGATACGCTTGTTCTTGTAGGAGGAGAGAGTTTTCACATCCACCGTGTTCTCCTTGCGTAAACTCTTGATGGTTTCCTCTATCTGGTTGTCATCACTGCCTGAAATGTGACGTAAATACATTAAATAAACAGTTGGTAAGTTGGACAATAGAGCAGCTTCATTGTAAGTATTGACATTTGTATAATGGCTGAAGATGTGAGTCGCCCTGTACGGAGCAGGTGATGGGATATTCCAGGGCTTTTTACTGACGGGAATGAATCTATAAATACACATGGTTCAATACATTTATGATTTAGAATACATCATTTTATTATATTCCAGACTATTTGATATGAATTGGCTGTAAGTGAGGTGGTATATTCAGACCAAGGACTGAGTGTAAACTTTTATTAATCAGCTAAATTAGGGTATATTGTGGGCGGATTGGTCGAGTGGTTAACACTCCGGCCTTCCAAGCAGGCGGCCGGGGTTCGATCCCCGAAGTCGCCGTACGCATGGAATATTAGAGATTTTCTCCTGCACACACAACTCCAACAACCCAGGTGGAGTATAAAATGGTCTGGAGTGGGTGTTGCGGTATCTCTGCTGTAGCATTCAAGTGAGGTGGCACTATAAATGATACCTCAATATTGTATTGATTAATATATATGCTGATTGTATTGACTGTATAAAATGGTATCTCTATGTACTGTGAATCGCTTTAGAGTGGCTTATGTTAGCTAGATAGGGCGCTATATCAAATGTTATATATTATTCTAACACGATTCGTTTGCAACGCGTGTTTTCATTGGATACGGACCATGTTCTAATCTGCGATAGAATCATGATCAATCGTGTTAAGCTCCTCCCATCGCACTTAAGCCACGCCCCGTTTCTAACAAAAACAATATGGTGTCAAGCTCGCCTCATAGCGAAATCCCGCTGATAAGGCTGGTAAGCAACAGAACAGAAACGACCGATGAAATGCATTGGTTGAATGAATTAAAAGAACACATTCCTTGTTCTTACCTCCATATATTACTGAAACGTTCTTTCCATCCATGTGAAGACATCTATTTAGATCCGAAATCAAATCAAACATTTCACATGTGTCTTATGCATTGACACAAAACTCTTCACAAATCTATAAAAATAATCACCGATTTTGTCGATAAGCAAAGATTGGTATGCATACTGACATGGAAATGTAAGAACTTGGACAATATTAATCCGAATGTGTCGTATAAACTTTGGTAACAGGACGTTCACGAACAATCAAAATATTCCGCCTCGTCAACATACAGATCGAGCGCTCGCCAGTATGGGCGGGGCTAAATGACCGACTTTTGAAAGCTTCTTTCCGATTGGTCAGTCCGCTGCAGAATGACACGTCGCCAGTTCAGGTCACAAAGTACTTTTGTACAAGGAAATACAATGTTTCTAAACATATTAGCGTAGTATATTTGTTAAGGTGTGTTAGAATGGGGATAGTACGTTGTTTTTCGTGTCTATAATGGCGATTAGAAAATGAAAATTGGTTTAAACTCTCGACCTATCGGTCTCGATTTCAAACCCAAATTTCATGTTCTAATCGCCAGTATAGACACTCAAAACAACGTAATATCCCCTAGTTATATATGTTTCATGTTCTGACGTGAATTGTCTTGTTCAAAGTTGTAGCATTGTGATACAGGTCTTCTGTAAGCCTTCCCTGTTGTGTAACAGAAGCGGCCTTAGTTTATTCATATTACCAACATTTTCTACTCTCGTTATTTATTCACCATTATACGGGCACATTTAATAATTTCTTGTCTGTACGTAGTACTTCAGGCAGAACTTTCCTGATGTATGACCTTATATATTCTCATACAGTACTTTAGTTGGACATTCTTTGATGTACGAAATACCACATATATGTAGTACTAATGGGAAGACCTTTGCTAATACATTTAATGGTTTACTTTATGTGAAATATGATCTACTATCAGTTTTACCTTTGATGATATATTAATAACTAAATATACTATGTAGTACTGTCGATCAGGTCGTTGCTGATATACGAAGTATTGGGTCAAAGAACTGGAGTGTGTGCAACAATATATTTGTCCCCGGTTAGAACATTCCTTACCTGTCTTTGTATCTTGTTTTCCCCTCTCCGTCGTCGATGCGTCTTTCCCATTTTCCATTGTTGTGGGTTGCCCCGGTTCCTTGGTTGAGGTTTCGGCTTTTCCTACTTGATCCCCATAACCTGCAATAAGTGCTCTCTTCATTGTATATGGTTATTTGTATGAATTCCTAATCAGAACATCATTTTTATTTAAGAACAACTAGGAAAAACATTTAGGAATCAATTCCTAAAATCACTGTATTCTATTGTTTCGGGGCCGAGGTGGCCGATTGATTAAGACGTGTAACCGTCACCGATCACTAGCACTCCACCTATTCACAGGTTTGAGGTCAAAGTGGGACAGTAGCCAGGTACAGGTAGGTTATGTTCCTCCTGGCACTCTGTTTTGTCTTCAACAACAAAACCTGGTACCTCCTTAAATGACCGTTGCTGTTAATAGGACGTAACACATTGATAAATGGGACCTATTTTGTCTTCAAATGGCATACCGTAACAGAGGCAAATGTTCCACTACCATTTTCCTTTGTGGTGATGAGACAACAAACGAGATGTATTGATACTTATTAAAGGATGACCTAAGATGCACCTTTAAAACACTTTGCTTAACAGAAATTCGGTATACTCGTGAAATAGCCGTTAATTCGAAGGAATAGTTCTAAGTATACCTTTTAACTCCATTGATAGTCGTATAACTAAAACGTCATAGTTTTTTAATTTCGAAATCTTTTTAATACAAGTTCTTTCATTTTAGAGAATATTAATTGATTAAGTCCTTTCGACCTACAGAAAAGATAACAATAATAATAATAGATAAATAATACCATACTGTTGAATATAAGAAGGTAACTTACTTCAAGTCTTCTAATTTTTCTAGTTTCTGGTATAAATCTCAAACCAAAGGTTAATATAATCAATAGGGAAAATGACCAACTGACCCCAATTAATTAGTATAGGTATATAATGTCTATCGGACGCAAACACCCACAGAACAAAAACGACACCTTGGTTTACACTCTGCTATCTGGGACAAGGAAATTCCTTACTTGTTTGTGTTTCTTGTTTCCCCTTTTCTGTCGTTGTAACGTCTTTCCATCTTTCCGTTGTTGTGAGTTTCTCTTGTTCTAAGGTGGAGGTTTCGGTGTTTTCTACTTGGTCCACATAACCTGCAATATATCTTATCTGTATATGTATATAGTTTTGTTTTGTTAGGATCTTCATTGCACTAGGGAATACATTAAGAAGGAATCAACTGATGAAATGAAAGGACACTGTTATCTTCATAAATCAGCTTGTTAAACAAATTAGACATTTTGTGATCGAGATGTATCTTCCATTACCCTTTTCCTTTGTGTCTGTAATATAACAATCGATTTGTGTTAAAAATATTTTAAACCGCTATTTCAAGACATTAGTAATATATATATATATAAGTGTTACTTTATATTTCCAAAATTATAAATAGTCACATGTGTAAATTGATTCTGTTGTAATTGTAGATAACATTTGAATACTTATACAGTAAATCAGTATAGTCGTTGCGTACATTTTAATGCTTTCACGGTAAGTCAGGATATAGTTATAGGTTACATTTTAATACTTACACGGAAAGTCAGTATAGTTATAGGTTACATTTTAATTCTTAACGGTAAGTCAGTATAGTTATAGGTTACATTTTAATACTTACACGGTAAGTCAGTATAGTTATAGGTTACATTTTAATACTTACACGGTAAGTCAGTATAGTTAAAGGTTACATTTTCATACTTACAAGGTAAGTCAGTATAGTTATAGGTTACATTTTAATACTTACACGGTAAGTCAGTATAGTTATAGGATACATTTTAATTCTTACACGGTAAGTCAGTATAGTTATAGGTTCCATTTTAATACTTACACGGTAAGTCAGTATAGTTATAGGCTACATTTTAATACTTACACGGTAAGTCATTATAGTTATAGGATACATTTTAATTCTTACAAGGTAAGTCAGTATAGTTATAGGTTACATTTTAATACTTACAAGGTAAGTCAGTATAGTTATAGGATACATTTTAATTCTTAACGGTAAGTCATTATAGTTATAGGATACATTTTAATTCTTACACGGTAAGTCAGTACAGTTAAAGGCTACATTTTAATACTTACACGGTAAGTCAGTATAGTGAAAGGTTACATTTTAATACTTACACGGTTAGTCATTATAGTTATAGGTTACATTTTAATACTTACACGGTAAGTCAGTACAGTTAAAGGCTACATTTTAATACTTACACGGTAAGTCAGTATAGTTAAAGGTTACATTTTAATACTTACACGGTAAGTCAGTATAGTTACAGGTTACATTTTAATACTTACACGGTTAGTCATTATAGTTAAAGGTTACATTTTAATACTTACACGGCAAGTCAGTATAGTTAAAGGTTACATTTTAATACTTACACGGCAAGTCAGTATAGTTAAAGGTTACATTTTAATACTTACACGGTAAGTCAGTAGAGTTATAGGTTACATTTTAATGCTTACACGGTAAGTCAGTATATTTAAAGGTTACATTTTAATACTTACACGGTAAGTCAGTACAGTTAAAGGCTACATTTTAATACTTACACGGTAAGTCAGTATAGTGAAAGGTTACATTTTAATACTTACACGGTTAGTCATTATAGTTAAAGGTTACATTTTAATACTTACACGGTAAGTCAGTACAGTTAAAGGCTACATTTTAATACTTACACGGGAAGTCAGTATAGTTATAGGCTACATTTTAATACTTACACGGTAAGTCATTATAGTTATAGGATACATTTTAATTCTTACACGGTAAGTCAGTATAGTTATAGGTTCCATTTTAATACTTACACGGTAAGTCAGTATAGTTATAGGCTACATTTTAATACTTACACGGTAAGTCATTATAGTTATAGGATACATTTTAATTCTTCCACGGTAAGTCAGTATAGTTATAGGTTACATTTTAATACTTACACGGTAAGTCAGTACAGTTAAAGGCTACATTTTAACACTTACACGGTAAGTCAGTATAGTTAAAGGTTACATTTTTATACTTACACGGTTAGTCATTATAGTTATAGGTTACATTTTAATGCTTAAACGGTAAGTCAGTCTAGTTAAAGGTTACATTTTAATACTTACACGGTAAGTCAGTACAGTTAAAGGCCACATTTTAATACTTACACGGTAAGTCAGTATAGTTACAGGTTACATTTTAATACTTACACGGTTAGTCATTATAGTTATAGGATACATTTTAATTCTTCCACGGTAAGTCAGTATAGTTATAGGTTACATTTTAATACTTACACGGTAAGTCAGTATATTTAAAGGTTACATTTTAATACTTACACGGTAAGTCAGTATAGTTAAAGGTTACATTGTAATACTTACACGGTTAATACTTACACGGTTAGTCATTATAGTTATAGGTTACATTTTAATGCTTTCACGGTAAGTCCGTATAGTTATAGGTTACATTTTAATGCTTACACGGTAAGTCAGTATAATTATAGGTTACATTTTAATTATTAACGGTAAGTCAGTATAGTTATAAGTTACATTTTAATACTTACACGGTAAGGCAGTATAGTTAAAGGTTACATTTTAATACTTACACGGTAAGTCAGTATAGTTGTAGCTCTCTGTAAAAGCAGTTTCCGGTACATCGACGATGTTAACTAAATGACAAGTTGACATTTCACGGAATTTGTAATAACAAATCACACTTTGGCAACCTCATCACTTTAGCCACCATATCATGACCAACACATGCATTTGAAAGTATAGAAGAACAAACTGTCTGAGTAGTGTTTTACGTCTTTCCGACAGCTAATTACATATGGTGCATGTCAGAACAAACTAACCCAGCACATATTATGTTCATCAGACATGTGAGATACTGACGTGAGATTTCGTATTATTTATCAGGTATTTGATTTCCGGTTTTGAATACCCCTTTAAATATTTTCTTAAGATATAAACACGTGTATTGCAGGCCTACCCTAAGTTCCATTGTCATTTTTAATAAACAGGTTCAATATGTATAAGAAAACAAATTAACTGTAATGATAATCATGACTTGTTAAATGTAAGGATCAAATATATAGTGTGGTTCTTACTTGTCAATATGCTACAACCATATGGATGTACCCAAACATACTCATGTATTGATAATTTAATGTATTGCCACTCGCTATCTTTCTTTAGATAAAGATATATTTTATCAAAAACGAGAGATATCTGATCAAAAACAAGAGACATCTGATCACAAACATTCAGATACGTATGAACTGATATTAGTAAATTAGTGCTTTACATGGACTTATTTCAACACAATTAAAGAAAAAAAGTTACCGCTTAAATTTGCAGTTGGTTACTGGTAACTTAAGAGATAACAAATCAATGTTATTTTCCCCTTACAAGTATTTTCAAATTTCTGTACCTTATTCCATACAAACCATCAGATGAAGCATTACTGAATTGCATAACCTGTCGATGCTTGTACTATTCAGTATTTGTTTGTAACCCTAGGTTCGGCGTCCTTTCTTAACAATGTAAGTTCATGACTAACTACTAGAAAGTTTTATTGATCAAAGTACCCGTATTCAATAAAAAAAATGATCACGTGTACAAGTGCAGATATGCTGTGGATGGTGTACATTAAGACATACCAAGGTTTTCCTCACTCTTGACGTAAGAGACGGTGTTGTTATCATTCCCATTGACGAGAGTGATCTCCACTGGAAGGTCGTGTAAAGGTCTATGATACCGCCGACATATGTTTGTATTTGAAATAAAAACAAGTAGGAAGCATGACGAGCGTACCATGCACATATCCATACAATCTTGTAATGTCTCATTTTTTGTACTGGCCTCGTCTGTCAATGTATCCCATACTTGTATCGCCATACCAGGGTACTCGGTCATTTCAATCGTTCCTGAAAAAGCAAGCACGTGCACGTTGCCTAACAAATATCAATGTTTACGTATGGTTTATCATCCGTGATTATGTTTCATGTCATAATTTCGAATATATTACAAAGATATACTTTTAGCCAATGACAGTTTCATAGATCTTGTAACAACAAGGCCTTACAAAATGCAAAAAAAATATCATTTCCAAGTTTGTATTTTGAATCCATCGATATTATGTAGTTAACAAGATTAACTTTTTTATAATGCTGTATATTTATATAATTACCGTGAAATCTATTTTGATTGATGACGTGATAGATATGATACAAATCGTGTAAATCATTATATTAATAAGATTGATTACTAGTATTGGTTATCTGTTACGTATGCCTATATATATAGGAGTAAACACTCAAAGGGTATAAAGCCAACTAAGTCCAAACAAGAAAACATCCGACTCTGATGACACCGAAATAATTAAGAAATACGTCCTGAATCGCACAACAAGTAGAAAACGACCCGAGGTTTTTCCGAACGATAACTGTTTGCAAACTTGGCTACATTGAGTACAAGTTGAGAGGTTACATGTAACACCATCCATTAGGTAAAGGGTGTGAACAACTTAACGATTTCTCATTCTACCACCTACCTGCCCTGTCAGCACAAACAAAAGAATGTCGCTGCTGGCATGGTTCGGCATACCAGCTGTGTGCTATTTCCCTGGAATTTTCTGTCATATTGAGTAGAAGACACTGTCGTTGGTTGTCGTCGTTGTTAGAAAATGTACTGAGGTATGTTGTATCCAGCGGGTCTGTACACTTTCCCCACGTGTACCACCGTCCGTCAAAGTTTGGCTTTAAGAACCCTAACCACAGTGGATGTCCAATCATTCTGTGGAAGGAAACCGAATTTACATGTTTTATACTGTCATATTGTACCACAATTACTTATCCAAGAGTAGTTAACAACGTTGTTAACCGTGCTTCCCTTTACCAAAGGACTTAGAGCGTTATGGGTCATTTTCGGCCTCATAAGAAGTGACAATTTCAACTTTAATATACTTGCTAATTTTTGTTATAAACATCATATTGGTTAAATGGAGCTAGCTTTCTTGGTGTAGAATTCTTCCAGTGCGCAAACATCGATACCCTATAAATGCAACGAAACGAGTTGCAAAATAAAGCCAAAATATGGTGTTTTCGGTCAGTAATTAAACATACGGAAATAAAAACCTCCGTATGTGACAAACAAAATTTTCTTTCTACGAACGAACACTTGTTTGACAATGTTTAAGCATGTCAAATATTTATTTGTTTTTGCCTGCGGAGGCTTTCAAACATGGAAGAGTGTTTAGTTAATTTTCTTCAAAATGGCCAATTTTCAACCAAATAGCGCACAACAGACGATATTCACGCATTTAATTATGAAAATACGCGTTTATGTCTCTCTTTGTAATGCATATCTCCTTACCTAGTTGTCTAATGACTTTGCAATTTCATACTTGCGTACTTCTTTTATTCCAGATTACGAATAAAACAACTTATTTTAAATTCCGGACGAGACCCTTAACGCCCCCAGTCCTTTAAAGTGCAACATGTATCGCAACTAAACAGTGCTAACACAAAACAAGCTTGGTACTGTATCATTTTGATAAAACAACATAAGCATTGCTTGAAATAATACTGTTATTGTTTGGAACGACAACACATTCTAAGCTTTGTAGTAAGTAATAAAAGGATACCAAGATATGAGGGACCAGGAAACAACCTATGTTTAAATAAAAATAGAAGGAATGCTGCACTAGACAAAGTGACCATCGACAACGGAGAAGAAATGAAAAGGCAACATGGTTCCAGGAAACGACAAGCTATAAGGAAAGACAATGTTAAAACCTTGAAAAGGGAGGCGAGATCAAATACTAAAAGGTTGAATTATTCCTACATTTCTTGTGACAACTAGCATGATGTTTTCCATTTTACTTCAGAAGAAAAGTATGTAGATTTTTAATTCATTAACTTTCGTATTCGAATTTCTATGTTCTGCTTTAGGTGATGGCGTGATTTCTCCTGCCCACACAACTCCAACAACCCAAGTGGAGTATAAAATGGTCTGGGTGGATGTTGCGGTATCTGTGCTGTGGCATTCAAGTGAGGTGGCACTATAAATGAAACCGGTGGAAGCACGGTCCCACTACAAACAGAACACAATACATCTCCATCCCACCCGCAGGTATACACACATATGGAGATATAATTAGCCAGGTGGTATAGTACTAGTAGTTAGCGCCTGATAAGGCAGCTCCTGCGAATTCCCCAAAACTGTATTGATTAATATACATGCTAATTGTATTCATTGTATTAAATTGTATATCTATGTACTGTAAAGCGCTTGAGAATGTCTTATGCTAGCTAGATAGGGCGCTATATCAAATGTTGTATATTTTTAATTTTCATTTAATAAACATCTGGTATGACTTTTGGACCGGTAGCCAGTCTAATCAACAATAACTTATGAGGAAGTTAATTAATGTATTAGCACTTACAAACCTATAACCAAAACATGTAATATACAAAGAGAGTTTTGAAAACGCTCACTGTCGGTAATGAAGAAACAGGTGATTCCGTAGATGCAGGAAATTATACCCCTCTGATTTTGATGTCGGCATCGATCCATAACTGAATGATTTGCATCCATTTAACGCATCCATCCACGAGGCGTTGGTGTTGACAACAGTGAAGATTTTTTTAGTTTTGTATCCATAAAATCCTGGAAAAAATTCCCATTTCATCATACATATAGAACAAGTACCAAAACCGAGTTGTATATCATTGATAATATCTATATTAGCTCAATTCTATCAGTTAGAAAGATAAATGCACGACAGATTGATCAAATGATTAGTAAACGGTGAAAACACATGCAAAAGATATCACAGTAGTGTGTTTTTCTTCTTCAAGTAAACAATTACGAAACTACGAGGTTAGGGCAGACAACATGTACAATAAGTTACCTACCTGTCACATTTACTTTCGTCATGCTGGCTTCCTGACATGCGACAAACAAATAATCTGCAAAAACAATTGTTTAGGTTAACTTATTCTTTTTGTATCGAGCATATAAAAGGGTGTCATTTGGTGAAATCTGTATCGTTGATGTTGTAAGTTTCCTATCTTACCTTAACAATATGCAATAGATTGGTTACGTTTATATTGAAAATTGAAACTAGACTGAACATGACTGAATTTGGAAATATAAACAAAGCATGTACCTGATATGCAGATGGTTATAAGATAGTAAATAAAGATCCGGTGTGACATTTCACCCCATTTACTATTCCCTGCAACTTCATACACTGCAAACAACAAGAAATGAAATCAATTTAATCAATAGGTCTTCGAAGCCAAAGTTTATCTTAAAATAAGGGTGCCAAATGATCACATACATCATCGTTGAAATTTTTAAAAAAAATGGAGATGATTCAATATAGGTATTACATGTTTGTGTACAAGGAATCTTCTTTGTTCTTTTTACACGACTATAGTTAAATCTGCTCTTAAGAATACAGAGAAGATATATCACACGTGAAAAATTATTTTTATTGATTGAGACCATTACATTTTCACTCTATTTTTTTAAATCAACAAGTTTAAGGAGCACTCTTTAAGAAAGCGCGGAGATAAGCAGTGTAACACTGGGCGCTATTATCTGCTGACGTCAGGCTTGACATTAAAGTTGCGTGCTATTATGAACAGATATTGTCCCAAGATTTTTCGCGATTTTTGTATTGTTTGATAAACCTAATGTTGATTGGAAATCACGCCTCTTTATCTGTATTAATTTTTAATGCATTTCTCATCGTTAACTGTTTAATTAAGTGACTGCTCCGTAATTTCCCATGTGTTAATGGAGTGGAGCGCTCCAACAATTGACGACCTAATATTGTTTTCATTTTTGTTATTGCTCTCGTGTCACATGTATTTATTATGCAAATAGTGGTAAGAGAAATAGTTAACACACTTTTTAAATTTATCGGCCGAAATATCGATTTTTGTCATTGAAATATGATTTAAAGTGATAAATATCGAGATTGGAATAAACAACACATTGCACTTATATTGTCGTTGCTATTGATCAGTGTTAGTTAAATATTACATCGCTAACGCTGTGAGAGTCAAACACTTATGCTTTAGCATGGGCAACAATATTCAGTACTTACCTATGGTTAGGAATGCGTTAATATCATACACACTTTTTAACCACAGAATTAACGTCCCAAAGCATCAAAAACTAATTTAATGTCAATGAATAATTGTCTGTTTGTGCATGGAAGTGAAACATAGCTGTTTATAGACAGTCTCAAACCGGAGAGGCCGTCAAATAGAACATTAGACAGCTATGATGATGCCTTCTCCAACGAAATATCAGGGACTCAAATTTCCTATTGGCAAACATTTATTTGCTCTCTCATTTGTTGTTCTTCATGGTGAGACTATTTTATTTGAATTCCTACCAGACAAAAGACTGGCATACCGTTGAGAGCTTGCCTTTCTGCTCCATTGATTTTTGCTAATGTAAATTCTTTGTTATAACAAATTTTCGCCTATTCAATCTTTTTGTCCTGCCATTACACATAACGTATCTTATTGTCTGGTAACAACTAGAAATCAAAAAGATATTTTTGAACACATTGATTTCCATCCCAAACAACTATACACGGCCTTTATTTCTGCTTGGCCAATGTATTACATATGGGGAGAAGGATCGATTTATAAACAAAAACGATTGTTCCAACCTATGACTA